TAGTATGGTCTTGTTTGTGATCATTTGGGTAAATGCCCAAAAGTGGGATTGCTGGGTCATAGGGGAGCTCTATGTGGAGTCTTTTGAGGAACCTCCACACTACTTTCCAAAGTAGTTGAACTGAAATATTTATTTTTAAATGCCACTTATTATAAAAGACTATTATACATGCTGCAAAATAAACAAATTTGTACCAATTCATATTTGTACAAGATCCTATGGATAGAGTAAAACTAAAATAATACTTCCATTATATACTAACAAACTCATAAATATGCTAGGGTAATGGTTTCTTCTTATTCATTCTTTCTTTGTCATCAGCTCTTTTAATCTCTAGTTTAAGTATTTTTGCTTTTGAGCTTTCCATTTGCTCTTTATGTAGTTTCTCTGTGTTCATAGCAAAACATTTCACAGTGTTGGCTGATTAGTATGCTTCTTCTAAGATATCATGATTAACTTGAATATAAGCAATGACTCATTTTCATCTTTGCAATCTCTGTGTCCTATCATTAAAATATGCACAAATCATATATTTACCACACATATATTTACATATTTACATATATTTACATATTTATCACTTATATTTACCACATATATGTTTGTATGTATATAAATGTATATATATAGTGATAATGTTTAAAAGGATAGCATTTCTTTAATGATTCAAAAGAGCATTGTTTAGGGTTGTTTTCCCAAAATTTGTGGGGGTTTATTATTTTTATAAGTATTTTATTGTGAAAATACCGTACAGAGGGGTTACAATTACATGAGCAAGGTAATGAGTACATTTCTTTTGTTTTTTTTTGTCAGTCGTGGGGCCTGAACTCTGGGCCTGGGCGCTGTCGCTCAGCTCTTCAGCTCAAGGCGAGCGCTCTACCACTTGAGCTACAGTGCCACTTGAGTACATTTCTTATCAAGCGTTGTTGCCTCCTTTTTTTAAAAAAAAAATAAAGTAATATAGGAGTCTTGCTTTTTCAGTCATGAGTCTCAATTTTTCCACCACCACCACCCACAAAAAATTCCAGATTTGATAATCCACTGTAGTACCTGTGTTTTGACCATAGTCCTATAACTTTGTGTAACTCTGTCTACTGCCTAAATAGATGCCTCAGACTTTAACTCTCTATTTTGGATGGTGCATTGGTAGGTGGGTTGTTGTGCCTTGTAAATTCATTGCCTATACCTTGATCCAAAGAGGATCCTAGAGATTATCTTGAATTTATTTCTCCTGAACATTAACATATTAATTTACTTCTCATGTTTACTTTTCCTCGACAGTTGTTCTGCCCACTTTTCTTCTAATCACTCACTCTGAGTATTTAGCTGCCCTATTGGACTGAGTCCCTGAAGGTTACGATATTGTGTAGAAGCTCAGAATATGCCTTAAAGACCTGAGTCACATTCTCTATCTGCAAGTCCATGAGCATTCCTCCAGAGGAGGTTTGTCTTCCATCAGCCTTTTTGCTGGAACTTGCTGCTTGCCCTCTTGACTTCTCTTTCTACTCAGGACTCAGAAACTTTGGTTTCTCAACTGCCAGAAATAAAGATTTCTTCTACACTTTTAGCTGTCTAAAATTCCCTTTTCTAGACTATAGCTTTGAAAGCAATGTATTGACTTTTAGGAATTATTTTTTTTTCTGAGCAGAAGAGCTATCCCCATTCCCAGTGAAATGTTTTCTTTCTCAAAAATCAAAGAAATTAGACTTTCTTGAACTTTCTTTAAAAATTATTTTATATGTTTTGAAACCTACATAGATAGTTAAATAATTCCAACTGCTGCCCTTTTATGTATTGCACATCTTACATAATTAGTATTACTCTGTGATGATTTATCAGCAATTTTCATAGATATACAGTTGTAAGATCATCTCAACACACATCAGATACTCACCTCATAATCTTCTAGAAAGAGGCCAGTCTTGAAGAGTTGGCTTTTCTATCCATTCTTGAGGATGGTACATTTTTTGCATTAATGTACAAATTGTATAATTTTTTTTCCAGAAAAATTCTTTTGGTTGGTTGTGGGGCTTGAACTCAAGGACTAGATAGATATTGTCCCTGAGTTTTTTTGCTCAAGGCTAGTGTTCCACTGCTTTGAGCCACCTTACCACTTCCAGTTTTCTGGTTGTTAATTGGAGATAAAAGTCTCATGGACTTTCCTAACTGGACTTGCTTTGAACCATGATCCTCAGATCTCAACCTCCTGAGTAGCTAGGATTACAGGCATGAGCCACTAGCATCCAGCTCAAAATGTACTTTTCCTTCTTTTTCTTTCTTTCCTTATCTTTCTTTCCCTCTTTCTTTCTTTCTTTCATTCTTTTATCTCTTTTACTTTCTCTTATCTTTCTTTCTCTCTTTTTTCTCTCTCCCTGTCTTCCTTTCTTTCCTTCTTTCTTTCTTGCTTGCTTGCTTGCCTGCTTTCTTGCTTGCTTGCTTTTTCTTTTCTTGTCTTTTTTTCTTCTGGTCCTGGAACTCTGGACCTGGGTGCTATCTTGGAGCTTCTTTTGTTCAAGGTGAGCACTCTACCACTTGAGCCACAGTGCCACTTTTGGCTTTTTTTTTTGAGTAAGTTATTGAGTAAGAGTCTCACAGACTTTCCTGCCCCAGCTGCCTTGGAACCTCAGATCTCAGCCTCCTGAGTAGTTAGGATTACAAGGGGTGAGCCACCAGGCA